TACGAAGGCTGACATTTCTTCCCAAAGTGAGGCGGTGATCTGGGTGACAAGTGAGATTGCATTTTGATTTATGACACGCAGACCGAGATCATCATATGAACCAGCGGTATGTCCTCTTCACCAGCGCCTGTGAGGTGTCTGCTCTGTGCCAGGCCCCATGCTGGGCTCAGGGGAGCCGGGAGGGTGGGGCCAGTCCCTGCCCTGCATAGTGTGTGATCTGGGCATGGAGACAGGCAGTCCTCCGGACAGACGAGTCAGCTACCCTGTGATAAACCCTGAATTGCAGGGCCTCCAAGAGGCGCTGAAGAGAGGGCTTAGCTCTGTCTGGGAGGGAAGTCGAGAGAGACCTCAGAAGGAAGTGACTCCATTCTAAAGAATGAGCGTGAAAACAAGAAGAGTGCAGAATGCTCTCTGCTTCCTGTCTTGAGAGAGAAGATTTGATGACAAAATTGTATTTGCTCACAAGTGAAGAGTCTCCAGATATCCCCCATCCTCAGTTGCCCTTCCATAAAGTGGAGACAATATCAGCGTCTGCTTAGTCAGGTTGAAGGAGTTTGGCAGCCTGGGCTTTGGTACCAGAGATCCAGGTCGAATCTCAGTTCTGCCACTTGTTGGCTTTTGACAAGTGAGCCTCAGTTTCCTGGTCTGTAATATGAGCAGATAACTGGATGCACCTCCCAGAGGCCGTGCGTGCGAAGGGCGGCCGCTGGCTCTGAGGCGGTGCTCAGTGAAGGGCAGCTAGTCTTATCGTCACAGACTCCTGTGAGGATGGAGTTGAAATGATGTATCGCTGAGGGTGTTAAACACCGTAGGGGCTCTACCCCTGAAACTTGTTTTAGTGTCTGCAGGGCAGGGATCCTTTTATCCACAACCGTCTAACCCTTAGAAGTACATCGGTTTACATTGTCCCTTGAGTGTGGAGTGAGTGAGCAGTGATGACGAGGATGTGTTCTCTTCTCCATGCATAGGAATCCTTTGAATGCACCTCGGAACCCTCACACCCTAGCTGAGTGATCTTTCACTTTTCTTTCCGCCCCACCTTCCAGGTCATTTCCCAGACCCTCTCCCCGACCTGGAACCAGATGCTGCTGTTCAATGACCTGGTGCTGCATGGAGACCACCAGGAGCTGGCGGAGTCCCCGCCCTTGGTGGTGGTGGAGCTGTATGACAGCGACGCGGTGGTGAGCGGCCAGGACAGTGCTGACGGCGCTTTGTTTTACTTACGTTATTTAACCAGCCTGTCCAGGTCATTTCCCAGACCCTCTCCCCGACCTGGAACCAGATGCTGCTGTTCAATGACCTGGTGCTGCATGGAGACCACCAGGAGCTGGCGGAGTCCCCGCCCTTGGTGGTGGTGGAGCTGTATGACAGCGACGCGGTGGTGAGCGGCCAGGACAGTGCTGACTGCGCTTTGTTTTACTTACGTTATTTAACCAGCCTGTTAATGCTCAGGATCCAGACGTGCCTGGCAGCAGTCCCGACCCGGGAAAGCAGTGAATTACAGAACCAGGAAAATTGGTGACCGTTTGCTTCACTAAAGAGTTTTTCACTTAGAGTTCCCTTTACATTGCAATTAAAATAGGATCTGGGTCACAGAACTTCGGTTGACACATGGGTTCAGGAATAGGATACTTTATAGCGCAACCCGCACGTGTGCCCACCGCCAGCTGGTTCCATGTCCCATGTCTGCGTAATGACAGTGTCCAGGCCTTTTGAAAACAGGAGGTGTTTACTGAGCTCGCCTGGCTGGAAGGGAATGGATGAGTATTGTCACCAGTGCAGCCTCTGTAGCTGGGTCTTTATTTTTTTCTCGGTTGTTGCTTCCAAAACCTGCAACAATGCATTCATCTCTCTCCCATTTCTGTTATGATGGAGACCAGACCTCTTCCTCTCCAAAGATGTCTGTGTTCTGCAACATTGGAGAGATTCACAAGCTTACTGGAGATTTTTAAAAAACAACAAATCTTCTTTTAAAATTAAGAAGTCTAAAATGAAAGGCAGTGTTTATTTATTTTATTTGCTGTCTCTACCTCCTCGGGAAGTTGCAGAAGCACAAATACATTAAATATAACAGCTGTTCCTAAAAGCCTTCCTAAAGCTTCTTCACCTCAGAGCATGCTGGCAGCTCTGACCTTGATCCAAGGTCAGGAGGAAATTAGGATGGGAAAATTGTAGAAGGTAAGCAGGCACCTTGGAGAGCACAGATCGCTCTCTTGCTTCCTAGAGAAGGAAAAGGAGACCCAGAAAGGTCAAATGCCTTGTTCAAGGTCACAGCTAGCTGAGGCAGAGTCAGAACTTGAACCTAGCCTTCTGTGCCTACTCTTTCTGCACATGTGGGCATGGCTGGTATGGCTGTATGCCTTTAGAGACACATACTCTACTTCTCCATTCCTCCTCTTCCTCCTTCTCCTTTATTTCTCCCCCCCCCTCTTCTCTCTCTCTCTCTCTCTCTCTCTCTCTCTCTCTCTCTCTCCACCCCTCCCCCAGCTGTAAGTTGGAGCTAGATGTATATACACTTATGGAATGTGAGTTCTACTCTTGGGAGTATTGTATAGATTTTCTGTAGAGACAGCCACAAAATACTCATCTTTTAAATTTTGTTCCTAACAACATGGTTCCAATCCTAAGTATTTTTATTTGAAGACCAGTAACAACAATCAGGCATCCTTGAAAGCTCCCCCTAAACCAGCCTGCTCCATGGGTTTCCCTTGGCTGCCTTTGCTGTTCAGACTCCTAGATCTCTATTCGGTGCTCTCAGGCCCCACCCCAAGCCAAACCCTTTATGGAAAAACAAGCTTCTGCTCCCCCATCAGAAGGAAAGGAGATGCAAGAGAGAAACCTCCTGGGAGTCTGCACTTTCCTTCTTGAGCAATGCACGTGGACATGCAGGATTCTGTTGACACTGCAGCTGCAGCTGCCTGGGGCCGGGTCCTGCAGGGACAGCCCCGATTATGAGATGCTGACCCTGCCACACGAGCAATTTCAGTCTAGAGCTTTCTCTCCGTACAGAGCCTTGTGCTCTCACTGGGGTCTGCTGGCTGTCAAGGAAATGAGTTCATCTTTTGCAAATTTGTTGCTTGGGCTTATGTCTACTCTTTTGTTTCCTGGACCAATTTTAATTATTCCAAGCTAGATCATGGGCAAAATAAGTATACGGCACATCACCTCAGCTGCCCTACCTGTACCCAGATTAGAAACAGGTGTGACCCTCCCAGTGGATACCAGCAGGCGACCTTTTGAGTGAGGCTGAACTAAACCCCATTTCCACCTCCCCCAGGCTTCCTTCTACAGCCAGCAATGCACGTGCTGGTTCATGAGTCCCAAGGCAACGAAGCCCTGCAACTGCTCAAACCCAGTCCCAGCCCCAGACGGGCATGTGGGCACTGTCCTTGGACGTCAGAAGTCATTAACCCAACAGCTTCCACTCGATAAATATGTACCGAGTGCCTGCCCTGTGCCAGGGGACACAGCAGTGAATAAAACAGGCAACCCTGCCTGCATGGAGCCTACATTCCAGGAGGTCCTGAGATAAACAGCAAGCAAAGCAGCCCCAGGCTCTGGCCTCATGCTGCTCCCGGGGGAGTGTGGGCCCATGCTCCTGGGAGCAGGTGTGGGAAGAAGCAGGAGATGGTGCCATCTAATAGTTCTTAAACTTATGGACCACTCCATACACACATATAAAAACCAGAGGCCCGGTGCATGCTGGCCAGGGCAGGGACCGTGGTGGGAGGTTGACCGCTGGCCCTTGAGGAGGGAGCTGACCCTCAGGCCCCCTGGGAAAGGGGCCCCTTCCGCCGCCACCCACCCCTGGTTCCCTGTCTCAGCCGGGGCCCAGAGGCCCCGGCGCATTTGGGAGAGGAGGCTACAGTCGCCGGGGCCAGGCTCAGAAAAACGGATGCCAAAGCCACGCAGTTCCCCGCCTCCTCCTTCCCTCACCACCATGGGCGGCCCCCAGGGGAAGGATGAGGATGGGAGTGAGATAGACCGTTGTGTTGAGGGCTGACTTTCAATAGATCACAGTGAGGGAGCTGCTCTGCTACGTAGGAAACCCTGACCCAGAAGCAGGTCTCTACGAATGGTTTAGCCAATGGGGGCCGCTGGCTGTGGGCAGGGGCCGCGGGAGGTTGGCAGTGGGAGCGCACTGACCACCAGGGGGCAGCTCCTGCGTTGAGTGTCTGCCCCTGGTGGTCAGTGCATGTCATAGCGACTGGGCGACCAGTCATTCCAGTTGACCAGTCGTAAGGGTCGCTTAGGCTTTTATATATATAGATACGTTAACACCCTCTTTTACTACCAAGAAAAATAGGATAGAACTGCTCTGTTACTTAAGCATATTGACCTTTATCATTATCATCATCATCATCACGTTTGGTGCCACCTTATTTCTCCTTTTCCCCTCCAAGTCTACCCTAGGTGATTATTTTTTTTAATATATTTTTTTATTTCAGAAAGGAAGGGAGAGGGAGAGAGAGAGATATAAACATCAGTGATGAGAGAGAACCACTGATTGGCTGCCTTCTGCACACCCTCTTTTGGGGATTGAGCCTGCAACCCTGGGCATGCACCCTGACTGGGAATTGAACTGTGACCTCCTGGTTCATAGTCAAAGCTCAACCACTAAGCCACACTGGCTGGGCTCCCCTAGATGATTATTTGAACTTTATTCCACTGAGCTCTCTATGCTGAGGAGAGAGAACCCCTAAGATAGTCTTGGGCCAGGGAATCCTTAAGGTGAACCTCTTAGAGTTTTCCCTGGGAGCCCAATCCTTGGAAAGGTGTATGAGGGCAGAAGCAAGAGGGAGATACTGATGCTGATGGTTTTGTGAAGATTATTTACAATATTGTGCTGATGCAGGTCAGGACCAGGTAAGTGGCAATCAGGGCCAAAAGGCATTTCTTTTCTGCCTTAGGGAAAGCCGGAATATTTGGGAGCCACGGTGGCTGCTCCTGTTGTGAAGCTGGCTGACCAGGACTATGAGGCGCCCCGGCTGTGCTATCACCCCATCTTCTGTGGGAACCTCTCTGGAGGGGACCTCCTTGCCGTGTTCGAGCTGTTACAGGTCAGTGAGGTGGAGGTGACACCCGCACCAGTCATCATCTACCTAGTCCATCTGGCGAGGGAAGCGGCCTCCCTGGAAGGGCACTTCCTTGAAACTGTGTCTGGTCCCCCGCTGCTGTCCTGGATCTGGAGGTGTCTCCTTCTGGGGATGTTGGAGGTGCCACCTAAGAACGCAGGCTATTCCCAGCGCCCCTGTGCTAGAAGGTAGCATCCCAGGATGGACTGTTCTTATGGGTTTAGCCAGCGATGCTTGAACAGCCCTCTGTACAAGTCCTTGAGCAGCCTATGGACCATGAGAGGATGGCAAAGAGGAAGGGAGCAAACATTTGTGGGGCTTACCATGTGCCCGGTTGTGTTTGCTGCCTCACATGCCTTTCATCACACCAGACCTCCCTCCGTCCTGTTGAGATAGGTATTATGATTCCCATTTCATAGGTAGTACACACATGGCAAATTATAATCTGTACACCTGAAAATTATATACTGTTATTAACCAATGTCACCCCAATACATTTAATTTTTAAAAAAAAATATACTTTTATTGATTTCAGAGAGGAAGGGAGAGGGAGAGAGAGACATAAATGATGAGAGAGAATCATTGATCAGCTGCCTCCTGCACAGCCCCTACTGGGGATCGAGCCCACAGCCTGGGCATGTGCTCTGACTGGGATTGAACCATGACTTCCTGGTTCATAGGTTGATGCTCACCCACTGAGCCACACCAGCAGGTAATTAAAAAAAAAAGAGGAAGCTGAAAAGCTGAGGCTCAAGGTTAATTGAATTCAGTCAGCCACTCTTTTCATTACACGAAGCTTCCTGAAGTGCTCTGAGTGAGTCCCCTAGTCTGTGACTGAGGGGCTGGACCTACTGACCCCTTCAGGTCCTCCGAGGGCTCCATTCCACGTCCGCCTCTCCCCCTCCCTCACTCCTCCACGCTGAGCATAGAGGTGAGACCCTGCTGCCTGCTGACAGCCGAGTTAATAGAGGAAGCCCTGTCAGAGGCGAGCAGCCTAAGAGATACAATTCATTAGGGTTCCATTAGGACTTCTCATTTGATTACTTGTTCAGAAAGTAATTGGATCATCAGCGCAGCTGTCTGCATGTGCATCTCGTGCATGCTGAGAGACAAGAGCGGGCAATGCCTTCATCTGTCTCCCACTGCTCTCAGTTTTCCTCTGCGATGGTTTATTCAGTCTCTCCATCTCCTTTTCTGAAACACTCCCCCTCTCAGGAGAAGGATTTAGTACCCTGGTGTTTCGATGCCCCAAACGGAATTCATGATCTCGACTTCCCATCCCTGCCCAAGCTAGCTGCCTCCTCCCCACCCCCGTCATCCCAGTCCTGGCTCATGGCCCTCGTCTTCTCCCAGACTCTGCCTTGAAAATTCAGACTCAGCTTAAATTCTTCACCCTGGACCTAGAGCCAGGCCACGCCGTTCCTTGGGCGGCTTCCCTCTCCCCTGTTCTCACAGACCCTGTTTCCCTCAGGACTGCTGCGCTGGCCTCTTTTCCTGGTATTTCAGCCTCTTTCCTGCCCTTTTCTTGTTCACTTTATCCTCCACGGTCCTTCTAGAACACGAGTGGACCACACCTCTCTCCTCTTCAGAAACCGTCAGTGGCTCCCTGCTGCTTATTACCTCCAGAAACATTTCCCCACCTCTGCTTTTTTTTTAACATCAAATGCAGTCCCTCCAAGTAAGGGAAATGAATATTTGGGAATTGCCTCAGATTATATCCCTTGTGGGGATTGGAAATGCCCATTACCATGGAGAGGACTCTGAGAAGATCTAGGATTTTCCAAAGGTTTTTGACTATGAAACCTTTTTTTTTTTTTTTTGCATAATAACTCTTTATAGTTGTTCACACACACACACAAAATCTGGCCCATAGGAAATTACAGGTTGGCATTTAAATTCTCCCCAGATTTGGCTTCAGGCTGTTTTTCAGCCTCATATCTCATCATATTACTCTACACACTCTATGGCATCTTTATGCCAGGTTACTCTGAGTCATGCGGTTACCCCATTTGGAAATATATCCCCACTCTGCCCACCCCAACCTCCACATTCCACCTACCTATTTAGGGAAAAGGTCATCATCAAAATCAGAGCCAGAGATGCCTCCTCCGGGAAGCTTTCCCCACCCCTGCCCCAGTCAAGTTAAATGCTTTCTTCCCCCCTACAGCACGCTGCCTCTTTCCTGTTTGATTCGGGCTATGGGAAAGCCATTTGTTTACATGCATGACCCTGAGAGTGGTGGCTCCCTGACCTTTGCACCCGGTCCCACCCCAGCCCTGCAGGGGGACCGCCTTTGAGGTCCTGATATTTTGTCTCTACTGGGATGTTACAGCGATCTGGCTTTAGGGCCAGCTTATCCTGCCCACCCCTGATTCTTAGCATTTTGCCTTCATAACAGTTCTTTATCTTTCCCTGGCCCGGTGCACTGAGACACTACACACCATGTACTTTTATAAGCCAGCAGCTGCCCCATTTCACTGTGAAAGCATTTCCGCTTAGCTGGGAGCAAAGCCGTTCTTCCGCCCTACAGCACGCTGCCTCTTTCCTGTTTAATTCGGACTATGGGAAAGCCATTGGTTTACATGCATGACCCTGAGAGTGGTGGCTCCCTGACCTTTGCACCCGGTCCCACCCCAGCCCTGCAGGGGGACCGCCTTTGAGGTCCTGATATTTTGTCTCTACTGGTATGTTACAGCGATCTGGCTTTAGGGCCAGCTTATCCTGCCCACCCCTGATTCTTAGCATTTTGCCTTCATAACAGTTCTTTATCTTTCCCTGGCCCGGTGCACTGAGACACTACACACCATGTACTTTTATAAGCCAGCAGCTGCCCCATTTCACTGTGAAAGCATTTCCGCTTAGCTGGGAGCAAAGCCGTTTAATCTCCACCACGCAGTGAGCTTCACAGCCTGTGTTGAACACTAAGGGCATCTTTCAAGCACTCGTGTAACAAAGCTTCGCCAGGCCGACATTTCAGCAGCCCTGGGATGAGCAAACAGACATGTGGAGCTTTGTAAAAACCACCCAGGGCACCGTCCTCTGTCCCATCCCAGCTGTTCTGTGCCTTTTCCTCTGGAGCTCGAGGGACAGTGAGCTTTCTCAGTGAGGTGGTGTTTTGCAGGCAAATCGCTCACCTCTTCACCGCCAGGCAGCACGGGCCGTGCAGCCTCATTATTTCCCAGCTCCCCTATTTGGTCTGACTCATTCTGCACCTTCATTGTCTTGAGCCTGTTTGGCATTTGCGGTGTCTGCTGTCTGCTTTTTTCCTGAGCTTCTTATAATTGAATTGACCACATCTGCCCTTGCCAACTAGAATATGTCTGTGAAAAAGAAAGGGTGATATATTTGTGCTCTGCAGGTTGTGGTGAGCAATTAGGCTTTGTCAGGCATATGGAGCTAGCGTGTCAGGCAGCCAATAAACATTTATCAAGAGCCCACTGGATGTGGAATGCCAATTGTGGGACTGGCAGAATGAAATGAAGTAAACAAACACCTCCTCTGGGCCAAACACCCCTCCCCCCACCAGGAGAACCTCTTTCCCCAAAACAATGCTTCATAGAACATCTGACTTCCAAGGCACTCAAAGATCATCTAGCCTGATATTGGAGGCCCAGAGAGGGAAAGAGACTCATGCAGGGTCACACAGCAGAGCCTGGTGTCCAGGCTCAGTCATGAATTTCTTTACTAAGCTTCTAGAGAGAACACGCTACGTTCCAAGGACTGAAGGGTAGGAGAACGGCCCCAGTGGCTGGGATCAAATCAGGGACAGCTTCTTGAAAGATAAACGTGTTGAGCCAGGTCTTGAAGGCAGTGCGCGGTGGCCTGCACAAGGGAGGAAGCCCTTTCTAAGTCCTTTGTGTGAGATTTTAATAAAGCATGATTGTCTTCCTGCAGTTTTGTTAACTCCAAACGCACAGGAAATAACATCTTTTCACCCTTGGAGGCCTGCCTCCAAAAGACTATTTTCTATTTCACTGATTGGGCTGGATTCTATTTGACTAACCAGGAATCTCTCCTAGCAGTGCAACATGAGGGATAGTTAAGTCTCAGAGGGTCAGCTTCTATCCGAGCCCCTTCCCCAGTCCACTGCTGGAGTTCCAGCGTCGTTTTATCAGGTCGCGAGGAGCTAGCTACTTTTCTTCCTCCACCCCCCATCTTACGGCGAGCTCATTAACCTATTAACTTTGTGGCACATCGCTAAGTGCTCACTAAATGAGGGTCACCCTTGCAAATGAATGCACTTGGCAGTTAATAAATAAGTGTGGTAAAACGCATCATCTCGGTTGCATGTTAAGCTGGAAACATTGTCTTCGCTAAAGGTTTTTATGGAGGAAAGCGTTTTAAGCAATTACATGATTTGGCTGGTGGTGATAACAGGTGAATGAGGGAAAAAATAAAAGGAAGCAACTCAGATTCATCAGAGAGCCACGTGTATCTCACTGGGTGAGACAGCCCCAGAAATATCCTCTCTTTCCCACGTTCTCCATTTTCCATCAATGACCAAGTCCAGCTACACATAAAACATGCAGGCCCTTCCTCGCCACGTGTATCTCACTGGGTGAGACAGCCCCAGAAATAGCCTCTTTCCCTCGTTCTCCATTTTCCATCAGTGACCAAGTCCAGCTACACATAAAACATGCATGCCCTTCCTCACCATCCCCACTGACACGTCCAGGTCCCAGCATTCATCATCTCCTGCCTAGATTGTTATCCAGCCTGTCTGTAAGTGAAGTAGGGTGAGGAATTAAGGGATTTTAATGATGAGAATGTCTTTCTACTGAAATGAGACCTGTCTGCCTATGCATACCTTCTATTCATGGGTCATTTTTTTATTTTTCAATTTACAGTCGACATACACTATTATATTAGTTCCAGGCATACAGCATAGTGATTAGACATTTATATAACTTATGATGTGATCACCCTAATAAGTCTAGTACCAAACTGACACTACGCATGGTTATCACAGTGTTACTGACTATATCCCCTATGCTGTACTTTACATCCCTGTGACTGTTTTTATAACTGCCACTTTGTACTTCTTAAATCCTTCAGAGAAAGACAAGCACCATATGATTTCAGTTATAAGTGGAATCTAGAAAATAAAATGAAAGAACAAACAAAACAGAAACAGACTCATAGACACAGAGAACAACTTGACAGTTGCCAGATGGGAGGATGGTTGGGGGCTGGGTGAAAAACGACTGTCTTACGGGTAAGGTCCTTGCCTGTCCTTGACCTTCTAACCGGCACTTGTTCTTTGTGGTAGGTCCCTTCATCCGGGCTACAGGGGCTCCCTCCCATTGACCCACCAGATGTCACCCAGATCTACCCAGTTCCTGCCAGCATTCGGCCAGTGCTGAGTAAATACCGAGTGGAGGTAGGTGCAGGGAAGGGTTGAGTTGATCTTTGGGACTCAAGGGCAGTGGCGCGTTGCAACACAGTAGTGCTTTGCATGAGGGGGATTGTGGGGTGGGAAGGAGACGGACGTAGTGGATCAGATGGGCCCTCGAGTTGCTGCTCAGCCCTTTCCTGGGAGAACATACTGTAGTTCCCAGGCAGCCTGTGGACCTCCTTGCCGGCTCCTCCCTGGGCCTTGGAGTGACAGCTCTGCTGCTGGTCCTCTCCTCAGGTTCTCTTCTGGGGAGTCCGAGAGATGAAGAAGGTGCAGCTGCTCTCGGTGGATCGTCCTCAGGTGCTCATCGAGTGCGGGGGACGAGGAGTCAAGTCCTGCGTGATCCAGAGCTACAAGAACAACCCGAACTTCAGCATCCAGGCAGATGCTTTCGAAGTGGTGCGTGTACCTGGTTCCCCACCTGCTCCTGCCCTTCATTCACGCAGGTCAATTGCCGTGGGGAGATGTTTTGGAGTTTGGGCTGCCCCCCCCCCAAAAAAAAACATCTCCCCATGGCAATCAACCTGGAAGAACAGTCTAACTTAGTGAAAGGCCAGAAGTTCAGAATGAGATAAAATAGACTTTTGTTGTTGTTTGGTTTGGTTTGGAAAGGCTCCAGCTTAGATCATACAGTCGATCAAATCAGGTTAACAGTGGTCCCCAAAGTGCAGCCCCCACCCCCTTCATCACTTCAGCATCAGCATCACCTGGACCTTTTAGAAACACGAATTCTCAGGCCCTACCCCACACCTACGGAATCAGAAACTGTTGTGGGCTGGGGCCCAGATAGTTCTGGCTTAACAAACCCTTTGATACATATTAAAGTTTGAGAACCACTGGCTGAGAACATACCCTCACAAAACTCATTTTAATAGTTAGATTTAAAAAAATTATTTATTCATAAAAGGGCCATAGTTTACAAGTTCACTTAAGCTTTATCTGCAGCGACTTTTTTTTAGCATCTGTCCTTTTGTTTCAGTATTTCAACATACATTTTTGTGCTCTGATTTGGAGCTAATTGTGAAGAGTTTGCTTTGTCCAACCCAGTCAATGCCAGTGGACACATATGCTACATCAGCAAAGATTAGAATGAAAGCATGTGCACCTGTGTGCAAACATTTCACACTGAGCTTTGTTAAGCTTTGGGGGAGGGGGATGGAGAAGCACCAGGGAAACGAGAGGGCCCCTCACGCGCAGCTCCATTTTGAATGACTCCCTTTTGTATCTTGGGCCTGGGCAAACATCTCTCTGAGACGAGAGCTCTGGTGAATAATGACAAAATGAGACGATTGACAACTACTGCCATTGGAGGTGTGGGATTTTTGCAGTTTAAACCCTGGATGAACTGTTGGTGCTGCTCTTCCCATTGTGGGTCATTACTCCTTGGCTTGGGAAGGCACTGCTCCAGACTTCTGGCAAGCTGCAGGGGTGGCCTGGAAGAAGAGGATGACCAGGCAGGGACAGAGGGAGGAAGGGCGTCAGGCTTACTTTGGTCCTGCCCCCGACAGGTCAGCAGGGCGCCAGCAGCCAGGCTCAGCCTGGCAGTGCCCTGACCTCGCTCTGGCCTCTCCCCGCAGGAGCTGCCTGAGAATGAGCTGCTGCACCCGCCCCTGAGCATCTGCGTGGTGGACTGGAGGGCTTTCGGGAGGAGCACCCTGGTGGGCACCTACACCATCAACTGCTTGAAGCAGTTCTTGTGTAAATCCAGGGAGCCCCTCGCCCCCGCCTCACAGGTGGACGGAACCCAAGCTGGGCAAGGTAGGAAGCTCCCCTTGGTTCTGGGGCTGTGGACTGCTATGGGACCCACACAAAGATACCCACCCCCCTCCTGCCCCCTGGTCTCTGGATCTTTCTGAAGAATTTGGTCCTTAAGTGCCACCTCTGCTTCGTTAGTTGCCAGATTCTTGCTTTAAGAATGGCATCAGGGTCAGCTCCTCTGAGAAGCCTTCCTTAAATATTACTCAAGCTCCCGCCCGCCTCCACTCCCTGACAGTTTTCTCTTCTTGATGTTACTTTAATTTGGTCTGTTTCGGATCTCAGGTGCACAGAGTTGAATTAATTGCACTTCTCAGTTCATGCTGTACAATTATCATCCGTCTGTTCAAAGCTGCACATTATATCCACCGTCCCCCGTGCCTATTCCCGTCCCCACCCCCTTCCCCCCAACTCCCCACTGTAGGCCCCACACCACCAATTCTTGTAAAATGTAAATCCATGTAATTTACGCTTATGAAATGGTGCCAGGACCTTCATTTGGTTTCCTACTCTTTTCACTCAAAGCTGTGTTTTAAGATCTGTGCATACTGCTGTGTGTACATTAGCCTGTTACCACTGCCCGCTGCATCTACCTCACTTTGCTTTTCCTTTTCCCTTATATTAGACTCCAGGCTGCCTTCAGCTCCCCACTTTCACAAACAGTGCTGTGATAAATGACCTCTGTTCATTAAAATTACTCTGAGGATCAATAAGTGTGACCATTTATTGATTAGCTATTAGGCACCAAATGCCTTACATCCTGATCTCATTTATGACCCCAGTGACATGGGCATTTTCACTGTCATTTTGTCAACAAGGAAACTGAGGTTCAGAGATGGTAGGCACTTGCCATGTTTGCATCCAGAGCTGCCGGGTGCCCAGCATTGGGTCCCTGAGATGACCTCCCTGTGCTAGAGCCCAGGTTGCCCAACCTGATGTGCTTTTAAGGAAACTGAGGTTCAGAGATGGTAGGCACTTGCCATATTTGCATCCAGAGCTGCCTGGTGCCCAGTATTGGGTCCCTGAAATGACCTCCCTGCTATAGCCCAGGTTGCCCAACCTGATGTGCTTTCATTTTGCTTATTTCAGATTCGCTAATAGCCACTGAGCCCTCTGGGCCCCTCAGCTCCTCCCAGGACCTCCCAACAGATCACATCTATGTGGACGTTGAGCCACCTCCCACAGTGGTACCTGACTCTGCCCAGGTTCAGCAGGCAAGTCAGGTTGACATCCCCGACTCATCCCCTATGCTGGCGGCTGAACACCCACCTGCAGCCCGGGAGCCACCACAGGATGGAAAAGCTAAGGTCAGAATCTAATCCCTCTTCATATTTACAAGGCTCATTTGAGTTTGTATGGGAGGCTCTAGATACGAATCCTCCCACCTACTAGCTGTGTAACCAGGAGCAACTTCACGTTTCTGAGCATCAGTTTTCTCGCAAGGCTCATTTGAGTTTGTATGGGAGGCTCTAGATACAAATCCTCCCACCTACTAGCTGTGTGACCAGGAGCAAGCAACTTCACGTTTCTGAGCATCAGTTTTCTCATCTGTAAAATGGGGATATTGATACCCACTTTGCAGCACTGTTGTAGAATCAGACACGTCAACGTATATGAAATTAAAGTGCCAGTCAAACAGAACAGTAGTATTTAATTGAACAGAAACTTTTGTCAATTTGTTCGTTTGGAAAGACAATGGTTTCACATCTAGGACTAATCCCCAGATATTTAGAACCTACTTTGTACAAGGGCATGTGGAACAAAAAGATGTGTCTTCTGGACTCTGGAGAGAAGTGAGACTTCTCATCCCCTGTTAGCTAAGATTCTGGAAGGGGAGATGGACACATATACAAAGAACCGTAAGCCAAGGATGCGATTTATCTTTCTGTGCCATAAACTTAAGTATAATATCCTGGGCATCAGTTGACTTGAAGGAGACAGTTTAAGAAAGTCCTAAGAGATTGCTTGCCCAGCAAATGGTAAAGGCTGAAATAGAAAGCAGAATAACAGATTAGTGGATGTTTCCTCAGGCTGTTCCCGTCTCATCCAGGCTCAGCGTGACCCTCTATGACACCTCGAGAAGTCCTCTTTCTCCCACCAGCATGGCCCCTGCCATTTTAAGTTAGAAATCTCAGTGTAAGTGTTTGTTGTCACCATAAAACTGTGGGCCCCACTAGGTCAAAGGTAGTTTTTTAAACATCTCTGCATTCCCTGCATTTGATAGAGTGCCTGGGACATCATAGGTAGGGACTCAAGAGATGTCTGTGAATGGATATTGGGTACATGATGTGTTTGCAAAGATAGCCTCCTCCAATGGGACAACTGTCTTCTGCAATAAATATGGCCATGCTGCCAAACATGTATCACTACCTCTCCTACCCCATCACTTCTGTTGTAGGTGTCATTTATTTGTACCCATCCAAATCAGAAATGATGCAAAAGGAGAATTGTCTGTATTATGTCACTTAACCCTCACAACAGTGAAGTAGGCAGGTATTATTGTCACAAATTTAAATTAATTGCTTAATGACTTATAACCCAGGTCTGTCTGAAGCTAATGCCTATCCACTATACCACATTGTATCATGAGTCAGTCTCCCCTCCTGAACTGTAAGCTTCCCAAAGGTGGGGATTGCGTCCAATTCCCCAAAATCAAGCACAGTATCTCACATCTGTTCAATAAATGCTTGCCTGTTCCATAAATGAATGAATGAACAGATTATTAAACTTTCATTTATTGAAGTGGTACAGAGAGCTGCAACCACAAAACCTGCCCACACCTCCATCCGCCTCCCAGAGTGCATCTTTCTTTTCAGGAAACCAGTCAGCCACCAGCAGCTCCATGCAGTTCCATGGGGCCTAACTAACAATCCATCCTCATCTTTTGCCAGGATGCCAGGAAACCTTCCCGGAGGTCCACCAAAAGGAGGAAGAGGACCATAGCAGATGAGTCTGCTGAAAATGTCATTGACTGGTGGTCCAAATACTATGCCTCCGTGAAGAAAGCACAGAAGGTAGAGACTCCCCTGGCGGTGACAATCAAGAGACTCGATAGAAAAGTTGTCTCTCCCACCACCTTCCCAATTCCACATCGTCCCCTCTTTTAAATCCACTATAGGTAGGCCCTGCTCAGGCGTGATTCTGTGAATTGCAGAAGGGTTCAAAGCCTGGAAGGACCAGGGACCCAGAATTGCTAACAGCCACCCTCTGGCTGGAGCTGACCCTAGGACACCAGCTCTGTTGTAAAATGCTGGCAGGATGTTCAGTCCAGCCTGGCATCCGGAGAATCTGTCTAGCAGTCAGACTCAGGGAGGTCCAGCGAGGAGAAACGGGGTCTCTGGACAGGTGGGCATCAGCGATGGGGGCTTCAGGTACACTTGGAGATCCCCAGCTCAAAGGGCTCCAGGTGTCCAGCAGGATTCTAAGTTCATGTGGGAAAGTATCAAAGTAAAGTCAGAGGTCTAGGCTTTAGCAAATGGGAATGATCAGTGTGTGGCCAGAGCAGGGCCTCGTGCACATGGAACATGAAAGGGATCGAGTTATAAAGCTGGAGAACCAGCGGGGAGTGGGTCTGGAGAATCAACCAAAGCTCAGTGGCGGAATTTGGTAAGACATCTCACCCCCAAGTAAGAAAGGAGAGGAAAATTAGTCAGGTATCACCATAGGCAATTGAATAGACAGTCTTCTGATTCTTGAGTTCGGAAAGAGCGTAGTTTCTTCATCTAGGGCTACCCACGAAGATTGATATGTAGTTAAATAAACAAACCAAGTGTTAGTCCCTGCCTCCAGCCTCCCTCCTTTTGTTGCAATGGACACACCATTTCTGGTGAGTGCTCAGCCCTTTCCCCTTTCTCTGACAACCTGCCCAGTTCCTGGGACCAACCCAACAACATAACATGCCAGCAGGTAAACTCAGCGGCAGACTGGGGTGATCAGATGGAAGATGCTTCAGGGAGGTGGGAAAATAGTGAGGACAGGGACTGTTTTCCAGTGGCTGAGAGACGACTGCACATGGAGGACAGGGAGTCTACCGCTTGGTGGCACTGTTCTAGGAAGTGTGGGCACCTTTTCTCTAGGGCAGGGCATCTCACTGCCCTTAGGTCTCAGGTCTTTACAGTGAGGCTTCACTTGGGAGTTAACTTTGGGACCATTTGCATACTCTTTCAAATGGCATCTCTGAGAATGCAGAGGGCTGACATAATTGAATTAGAACACTTAGCAAGTCAGGATTAATAAATGAGGCACGATAGTGTCAGTAATCTGGTCTCTGTCTTTTCTCAAAGGAAAAGGAGAGAAATCTCAAAGAGAAGAAAGACAAGACAGGTAAGTAGTTGTTCTGGGGAGCATTTAAACATAGAATAAGGCCATTTGGAAGAGAATTATTAAATGGAAGCAATGGGAGGTACGTTAGAGTTGTATACCCTAATTTCCCAGGTGAGGAAACATTCTCAGTCAGATGACAGTACTTTAAGAAGGTCATGTAGCTGATTTGAACTGGACTGGCACCAGCTCCCAGGTCTCCTAACTCTAGTTCAGTGCTGAAATCAACCCTTTGGCTCATGTTCCTACACTGACAATCTGAATGTAGAAACAGCAGAGTAAAAATAGAAGTGAGCTGGGATGACAGGCCAAAACCAACATGATAAACTTTAATAGAGGTGACCTGGATTTAGCTTCCCAAACTCAGTTTACAAGGATTGGGTGGATGTGGTTTGGCAGAAATCAAATGTAAGAGGCCTGGGATTAGAAATGACCTCAAACTCGATTCAAGCCAACAGAAGGTCTTGGCCTACAAACACCCCTAACACCAAGTGGCCAGTGCTCAGTTTCAGGTGACACCGATGGAAGCAGGAGAATTAGAGTTAAGCTCCATTCCTCAGACCACTTCTAATTAGCATGTGTCATTCTAAGACCATCTCATGACATAAGCAGTACTGGCTTCATTTTGCAGATGGTAAAACAGGTACAAAGAGGTGGTGTAACTTGCCCAAGTTCACACAGCTAGAATCTAATAGAGCTAAAAGTCTGTCTCAGGCAGTTTATTTCTAGAGCCTGCTCCTAAAAAATTACTGAGTAATCTCTCTAACTACATTCGTGGCTTTGTGCAAGACCCTTAACATATTTGAGCCTCCGGTTATTAAATTAGATTAAGTTCATAAACAGATCTGAGAGGGACTGTAACTCAGAGCTTTGGAGTCAGTCCATCCTGAGTCTGTTCTCTGTTAGTTGGATGACTGAGCAAATTATCTCTCCCCCTCCCACCCTCCCCCCGTGC